CTGCGCAGTAGCTCCAGCCCTCCCAACAGTACAGGCAGTACAGCTGACAGTGATGGCTGGACCCCAGGACCCCCAACCTCGTGCCCCCAACGCCCTCCCAAGGTCCCACAGGACAGGAGCAGGAAACGTCCACAGCCAGGACCCACGCTGTCCACTCACGCCAAGAAAGATGTAAGCTTAATTGCCGTTAAATCATCAGCCTTCGATGTTCATTCTTTGAAATCTGACCAAATCACAGAGTTGCTGTAATTCTGACACACACATCCTGTTGTCTTTCCCGCAGCACACAATCACCACCCTGCATCCAGACGACCGCAGGAAAGCAGATAAGCTGAAGAAGAAAAAGAGGAGAAAGGAGAGGGAAAATCAGTCTGGCGAGGAAAGTGGGGATCAGCAGCCCCACTCGGCGGTCCCAGACCTGCAGTGCCCGCTCTCCTTTGGTGGCCGAACAATCAAAGAAGAGCCTGAAGATGATATCAGCATTCCCCTCCACCCCCAGTGCCTGCCAAGCCCAGCCCCCTGCAAGGAGGAGCCCAAGGAGGAGCGTCGATACTGGGATGGTCGAGACCTCGAAGAAGGGGTGGTAAAGATACAGAAGGTTGAGGGCATTGCAGGAAACAGAACGGTGTTCCGTCAGGGGAAGCAGGTGGTGTTCAGAGACGAAGATGGATCAGGAGAGGATGAGGACATAATGGTAGACTCAGGTAAGATCTTTTAGTGCTTAAAGTGCCGAAAATGACTTAAGTGTGATTGTTGATGAAGTTAACGCTCAGTGTATACTGTCTTCTCAGATGACGACTCGTGGGACTTGGTGACGTGTTTCTGCATGAAACCTTTTGCGGGCCGGGCCATGATCGAATGTAACAAGTGTAACACCTGGATCCACCTGTCATGCGCTAAGATCCGCAAGAGTCACGTGCCAGAGACATATGTGTGCCAGAGCTGCCGAGACACACACGGACCCCCGGATGCCCGTCGCTCCCACCGCTCACGTGTTGGCCCACGCAAACATCTGCTAGACTGACCCCAGGCCAAACCATGAACTCTGGCCCCTACTGCTCCTGCTCACCCTCCACCTGCTGGACTGCCCCTTCCTCAAATTCAGGTCTTGCACCCTCCAGTCTCTGTTCTTCATGGTCAGCCATGAACCCATATTTTCTATAGACACTTTGGTGGACCTATCCCAAGCCCTTATCCCATTTGAAAAAAAGTTTGAGTGCTGTTTTAGATTTACAAAGGTTTGTTTCTGCTTCCTACAGACTCTGCGTAAGGCAATCACTGAATGGATGTCTGTCTGTAGATGACATTAGCATAGCAGCAAACCTCTACTGCTGGGACTTGGTGTCTCGTGAACACTGGAAACATTTGAACTGCCATATAGAAAGAATATCCTCACAACTGCCACCCACTATGGTGCATGCTGGGATTTATGGAAAAGATGGTTGGCACTTTTTCTCACTTTTTTTTTAATCCATCTGACCTTTCTGTCATAGAGACAGGTATGTCTTTCTGATTAAACTGGATTTGATTTCTTTCTGATGCCTCTATTAATGTTACATAATTAACCATTTAAAAGGAGAAAACAAGTTAAGCCTTGTGTTAATTGCTTCAGATGGTGCTATAGTATTAAGCTGAGGTATAATCCAATAGAACAAAGATGTAGGATAAGAGGCTAGAGTCTGCATCTGCTTCATCTGTTTGTTGTTCTGTTTTGTTATTTAAGACATTGTGAAAGAATATCATTGAAGCTGTAAGCCCATACAGCTGAACCAAACGCTTGTTCTCCTCTACTTCACAAGTTGTCTTCCAGTCCTCTGAACCATGATGTTACTTGGCCATATACAGAGCTTTCACGCTCTGTTTCTCAGAACAGTGTTCTTATTTCAACAGTTTTTCCCCTAATAAATACAATGTTGTTAAACAAGTTCAAAAGTCAGATAATTGACAAGAATCTGATAACAGATTTCAGTAAAGATGTTTTCCGTTGCCTCTGGTCAGTAGGAATTTTCTGCATTTCATTACCACATGAAGTAGTGGTATTTTTCAAGAACACTTTTTCTTTTTCAAACCATTTTTTAAAAAAACATTTCCTTCAGTTACCTGGGTCATGCTCAAGTTTTCAGAGACAAATATATTTATATAAGGGAACTCCTACAGCCGTCCTGTTGAAATATCAACAGAAAACAAAGCTATCTTAACTGGAGTATTGTTGGTAGAGAGATTCTCTCTAGAGTCCAGTTGAAATTATGCATGTGAGTGTGTCTGTTTGAATGAGGGTGTTGGCGATGCATGTGCTGCTAAGAGTTGTCTCAACTAAGCTCCATGGTTTTAGGTTTTTTCGTGAGAAGGAGAAATAGATACTTTTGGAGTAGCATGGACAGGGTCGATTTATTTTGTCTCTGAAGAGTCAGATGAGAAGAACAGATCTCAGTCCTTTATCACCTCACGCTAACGTTTTCACAGCAGTATTCACTTCCATATGAGGCAAGTTAATGGAAAATGTTTTTTAGTACATATATCTCTAAATCTTGATCCAATTTGGATAAAAGATTTTAAAGTTTGTTATTCATGTGCCATCTGCTGTTGGACCTGTCGGTGTAGGCTACTTGTTGTTTCTGATTATATAAAAGCCATACTGTAGAGTGACAGATTTTAGACTCAGAACCTCGGATATTATTCCAGGATGGGGGTTTTACAATGCAGAATCAAAGACTTCACCAGGGAACGACTAACACACACAATGAATGTTTGGTTTGTAAAGAACACAAGACTTTCCAAGAGTTTAAAGCGGTTAAGCTCATCTGTGCACTCTCGTCTTCTGATATCTACAAATGTTGGTTAACTGGTTTCTTACCCAGCAATCGCCTAGGTTGTGATGCTCTTAAGATGTTTCAAGACCTAAAGTCATTTGCTGTTTCTCAGGACATGTATGTCTTGAAGAGAATCTGTAGACATCTTCAGACACAAATTCTTAATTTTAGTCTGCGTCTGAAAGACATTAGTGTAATTAATGTTAACAGTGCTCATTGTGATACAGCTTGTTTATTCTGATCCTGGGTTGTCCTATCCCCTTACTGAGAAAGCGTTGTCTGTACTGTGGTGCAAACTGTTTCTGTGAAACTATTGTAAACTATTGTAAATAAAGAGTTACCATTTTAACCAGTTGAATTTTTTCTCACTTTTCAGGGTGTGTGGTCCAATTAAAATGCACTGCGAGAACAAATGTCACATTTTTATATTTATTGCGGTTCTTTACAGGACAGAACACAGGCTCCTCAACCATACATAACATTTACATACTAATGGGAGTCAGTTTGGATGATGGGTTGGAATGTAACAGCAGGGAGCAGTCTTTCTGCAGGCCTCATGGTGGCACTACAGCAGAGGTGACCAGACGACCTGACAAAAAACACTTTACAGCACATTTAAAACAAGATAAGACAAATACTAGAAACAATCAGTGCAAAATGGCTGCCGCAATAGTGACTAAGATTGTTTTGATGTATCTCCCCGATTCCAGTCTGCGTGTCTGTAGACAGGCCTCACTTCCAACTTAATGCCAAATCTTAAGAACTCAGTGCTTCCCTTTTGTTATTTTTAAGCCTACCCACACTTTGTGGTCATGCAGGCTAATCACAGCGATGGAAAAACTGAAACCAAAGGAAAACACCATATAAAGTCAGCTGCATTAGTCACTACTTATTACGTAGATGCAAATTGCAGTTAAGTAAAAGTGTACTGCTACAATTAGAGGCTTCAGCACCACTTTGATGACAATTAGCCTCTAGTATTTGTTTTAAATACTGTACATTTTGTGCAAAATATTACCTCTATATGCAATAAAATCCCACTGATATCCTACATCAGTTGTTTCAATAGTGTTTTCGGGATTTCCCCGTACTTTATAACAGGCTTTCCTCAACAACAAAAAAAAAATAGGAATAACTATTTATAGTTACAGAATCAATCTACATATAGTTGGACCATTATACCCACTGACACAGGATCAGGATTAGGACTACAATCAAATAAAATGGGAGCCTAAATGAGATGCTCTACTGTGCAATTGATATGATAAAACTTTAGGACCTCTGTGCTACAACAGGTATCAGATCAGGTCATCAGAAGTGAAGTGTACTGTCGGATATTAAATTTCACCATGCCAACCTCACCGCTCTGATGAGTAAATAGCTACAGCACAGGTACGTTAGTGTGTCTATTATCGCTTAAAGGACGGTGATAAAATCCCTCTGGACCAAGTATGGGTTTAGCTTCCGTATTGTCATGGCAAGATTAATTTGATTCAGAATCTTTTTTTCATCAAAAAGGGACAGAATTGTATTAAACATATGGCACGGGACTGGTTTACAAACTAAATATAGTGTATCACCAAATTGAGATGAATAAATACAGCCGTGTAGTTGCACCATAATCAGTGACATGGTTTTAGTGAGGCTCAGATACAGCAATTGCATCAGCAGCAAACAAGCTACATTAGGCAAAGCGTCCCTCTTCGAGTCGCACCCCGGCCGCAAAATAATCTTCACTCATATCTCCTTGTTTTTCGCAATGTTTCAAATCCATACCAGTATTTACTGTCATTGCTGGCTTTCTCCCAGATATACACCAGAGAAGTACAAACTGTAATCTTGACTGTATTAAAAATCATTATAGAAAATTCTTTTTTGGCTCCAACTGCACAGAGATAATCAATAAACACTGACGCAAATCCAAGTTGAATTTCTGCCTTTAAACTGCAGTCCAGAATGAGATATTAAAAATCTATACGGTGAGTTCAAGCCTGTCTCTCCCTGGTTGGCTCACCACCATCAAAGCAACTCTCACTTTCCACTCACTTTACAATCCCTCCCCCCCTCTTCCATATTCCAACCTTCACAGATATAAGTCGTGTGTACCAGTTCACACCTGGCAACACAATGAGCAGCACTAAAATGCATAACACATGAAGATGAGACGTTTCAGCAAGTAACGAAAAACATGACTTCAGTCCTGGCGGGCCTCGGGGTTACTGAGACATGATCCTGCATAGAGTTACCGTGAACATTTGCATGAATTATTGCAATGACTATGTTATTCCGTTATTAGATTGAAACTACCTGGGTAACACACGTACAAGTCAAAGACAAAAATAATATGGGGAAAAATGACAGCTCCTTTGTATATACCTGACATAATGGATGTTGAGAAACACGTTTAAATGTACCTGTGCGCTTCTAGTTCATTACTGAGGGAAATCATCACCGCATCCGCAGTGACAGTCATGCCGTCTGTGTTGGGCATGTATAAAACTATGCTCCGGGAAAACTTCTGATCTCCGACAGCACACTGATTTGAGCAGTTCTGTCAGGTGGAGCCAACTGGGGGAGACAAAGTGTAACACCTGGAGGAAACTCGGAGCTGACTCAGAGCTGTATTCTGCTGGACCTGGGAAATGGCCTACAGGAAAAGGAGGAGTGGAGGAACTTGATAAACAGATTCACTAATACCATGACAGAAGAAGGCCAGAGGAGAAAAACAAACTTATTTTTGATGTGTCCCCTTCGTTCTCGGGCTCTTCTGCTCACACAAAGTCTGTTTTATCTGTATTTGCCTTCTGGTGCTCCAGTGGTGGTGAGCTCCTAGGACTCGGACTCAATTCTGTGAGCTGACAAGACAAAAAAATATATAAATATATATATAATTTGAGCATGGATGCAAGCGTATACTGTAAGCTTTAGCAATGTTGTAATTAGCTACATGGGTCTTGGGTAAAGGGGGCTGCATACTAACATTGCTTGGGTATCCGTAGCGGTTCAGTGTCTGCAGAGATGACTTGGTGCATGACACCTCTGAACTGGTACAGCAGTTTTAGACTCTTCTCCTCTCCTACGCAAGGGTCGTAGAAACCCGGCAACCCCGCCTGCACACAGAGAAACCAGTCATATGCAGTGTATGCATGCAGATTTGTAGATGCTTAAAGGGATCATTTTGTTTCCCTGAGTCAGTACTTCCCCAGTTTGGAGAAGCAGACAGGAGAACCAGCAGAGAAGCTAAGCAGTGAACAAGGTCAACAGCAGAGATAGTTATGTACACGTATTTTGTTAGCCATCAAAAATGGCCCCCTTAAAAAAAACTCTATATCAGTTTAAGTACAAATAGAATATTTACTTTACCTTTAGTCAGCCTTTTCTAAAAGTGGAGGATTACAAGAGTTGCTGGTCTGCTCTTGCTTTAACCTGTTGGTTTTGATTCCAACTAATGTGTTAGAATACCGAAGAAACGCAATACCACAAACTAACTAACCGATCGAAGCAGCAGTAGACCAGTGTTCTGTGAGGTGAAACTACTGTTTGCGCCAACAAAGTCTTTAAAGAAACCAATGTAATGGCTTCATTTCCCCGTCAGAAAGGGCTGTCTGACAGCAAGATACCGTGGCGATAAAACCACTTTACCTTGCTGAACTAAACTGATATTGATTTTTTTCTTTTTTTAGGTGGGCTTTTTTTTTTTTTTAGGTGGCTATAATACATTTTGAGGCTGATTCCGTCCGCAGCAATTCATGTCATCCACTGTAGCTAAAACACTACACATTGGCGATTGCAGTTTACATCCCCCCCTTGGCTGATGATGCTGTGGCCTGTGAACTCATCCATAGTTCAGTGTCCCAGCTGCAAACATCACACCCTCAGTCTCTGATCATCTCAGGAGACTTTAATCATACATCGCTCTCTACCAGTCTACACACATACTGCTAGCATGTGGACTGCCCAGCCGGAGACGGTGGAGCCTTGGACCTGCTGTGTGCGGACACCAGGGATGCATATTACTTAATTATTTTTATTTTCTTGTACTTTCTTTCTATATTTTGCTGTATTTGCTGCTGTGGAGTGTAAATTTCCCCCAATGGGGGATCAAGTAACCACTTCATACAATCACACTTTAAAGAAACCAAACTAACTCTTTAAGTACACACTGTTGTCTGATTAGACACACCTTTGAGGCCTCAGTGAGGATGAGTTTGGAGTCTTTGACCAGGCACTGCAGAGGCACAGTCACGTCGATGACCTTGGCTTTCTCCTGCTTCTGGCTCGTATCTGACACAAACTTTCCATACCAGGCATTCAGGATGATCAGACCTACATGGTAATACACAGTGTGTTATATAGATTCATGTAACTTTGGGTGTGTGTAGATGTATATGAATTGACACTTGGCTGAAAACAGAGAGCAATCCAGACACACTGAAATATTTCACAGAGACGTTAAATGTAGTGCTTGTAAAGTAGGTGTAGTTAAGAGTGTTGGTCCGTGAAGTCCCCCTACCACCATGTAATTCCAATAACTAACAAGCTGTGGCACGATAACAACGCCTTTGACTGTGTTAGCTTGAAATCACTACTACAGTGCTATTGTTCTATCTTTAATTGTTAGTCTGAGCATCAGAAGTGAGTACATCCACGGATTTGCGCTTCAAATAATCACAAACATAAATATCTGATAACCATGACCAGAAAGCCATTAGTATGCGGAGACCACAGCTTATATTTTTTGCCAAAGTGCACTCTGGTGTTTCGTGCATAGATTTACACACTTAAGCTACAGAGACGGGCTGTACCACCATCATCACTTGCGTCACAGCAGTGGATGATGAAAGTCCGACAAACAAGATCCTGACGCTGACAGCAACCATAGCAAATGCATTTGAATTACATATTTGATTTTTTCCCCAAGTTTGGACTGGCTACAAACTAAAAAAAATCTCAGTTTCTCACTCTAGAGTAATGTGTGTGTGTGTGTGTGTGTGTGTGTGTCTACCCTCACCCATCTTAGATTCTTCTGCTTCTATGATTCTCCTCACAGACTCCTGCATCAGCAGAACCTGCAGAGGAGCCAAGGGAGAGAGGAGGGGGGAGGAGAAGGAGGAGGGGTGGAGGAGAGCGAAGCAGGACAGGATGGTAGAGAGTTTTTCAGATGAGATTCAGTCATGAGTTCATAATGAGGAGAGCTGAACTTGGAAAAGATGATCAATTATCCCCACACACAATGAGCGACTGTGTTTCTGCATGTGAGTACTCACAGCAGACTCTGCCTCCTGCTTCTTCTTGGCGATGTCTGTGGCAGAGCTCTTCCTCTGCAGCTCCAGCTCTCTGAGAGGCACAAAGACAGAGAAAGCAGACATCTACAATCACCCGCTGGGATTCACTCTGGAGGCTCTCTCTGATGACAGTGTAAGCGTGAAAGAAACTCCTCTAGTAATAACAACACCCTTCACTAAAATGTTGCATTTTTTTTCTCCTAAATCAGGAGCTGCCTTTATCTAATAGATGAAGTTTTGTGATCTAACTATTAAAGTGTATACAATAAAACAAACTGGAACGTTAGGGAGAGGTTGGTGATTCTGGGTGACTGGTGAGGAAAGAACACTCTCTTTTACATTCAGTAAGAACAGTGATGAATTTTTATGATGACTGAAAACAAGACTGGAACCAAGATTTTCTACTACTGGGACAAAGGGAGCTGCTGGCTGAGGCAGAGCAGATGTACTCACTGCTCTTTCTGTGCATGTGTATATGGGATGATGACGAGTCTGTGGATGGCCATGTACACCAGCAGGGGTCCGACAGTGGCGTAGAAGACAGCACTGGGCAGAAGCTGATCTGTCAGGTGAACTGGAAACAGGTACGTTTGACTTGCACGCGCCAACCTGCACAGAAAACACCGGCACAAATGTGAACCCACACATTAGATAAACCTGCAGTGAGACAAGGCCACATGAAAAGAGCAGGATCAAATTTTGGTTTGGCCAGTACTTGATCTTGAGTGTGACTCCCTGTGGGACACCAATGCTGACAGTGGCTGACAGTACACTGTGTCGGCTGATCTTCCTCTCTGCTCCATATTCTACCACAGTGCCAAACCAGCCTGTCCTGTAAAGTGAGGAGCACAAAAGAGAACAGAGACCATTAGAGAAATGAAGCTAGGCGGCTACCAAAGACAACAACAGAGCAACTTGCAGAACCGCTACAACTGAAGATTAAAATGTTTTGGGATCAAATACATGAGTTTTAACAACTTGTGCATTTTCTTTGACTAATAAATTGCCTTTTACATTATTTTCTGCATTTCTGCATTATTAATTTTGCATCAGTTTTTAAATTGTATGTTATTGTCTTAATTTTCCCAAATCTGTGATTTATCTGTAAATTACAAATGTGTAAAAAGGTATTTGCAAGTTAAACAATTAAATGGCTTATATCCAAAAAGGCAACATTCTCATGTTTTTGTTTAAACAATTATTTAGACATTATTTTTAAAAACCCAAAAAGTATTAGATATGTAAACTGTCTCCTTGAAAATTAGGATTTTTCTAATGACGTCAAGGAGAACAGCAGGAACAGCATTATTATGTCATAATAACTCAACTATTTTCTTGCAATAACTAAAAAAAACAGTCTAGTCGTATAAAGACTACATCTAAACCAGGAAGATAAGCAATTGTTTATTGCCCTCTTTGTTAAAAAAGTTGTCTGTTGCATGCTGCTGACTGCACCCAACAGTGATGTCAGACTGTATTCACACCCTAGATTAGGCTGATCTTACACTTTTGACATCCAGACATAGGCGTGTGAGTGATGAAAACTTTGTCATCAAGAGTATCTGTGACGCTCTGGTCATCACTTTTTGTGACTGCATGGACAGTCACCAACTGCACATGTGCTAGAAAACCAATATGGACCATTTTGATTAGATTCTTAGTGCTCATGCATAAAAATACGTAGATGCTGATCTACTGTGCATGTATGGAAGGTGTCCTCCAGGTGGACTCCAAGCAGACTAGAAAGTAGCATAATAAGAACAATTTAATGTCTGTGGTATCCACAGTTGTTCATATATGCGCCTGCAAGGAGTGTCACCAGTTCCTTACATGTCAGCATGTTAGTCCTCAAGTCAAACCACCAACAGCAAAATCAGGATTTTCAGCTAATGTTGAGCTGCTTTTTACAATGTACTGACATACTTCCAACAATTTTTTTGTTTCCCACTGGCATATTTTGTTGTTGTTTTGTCTTTTTAACCATTTGATTCAAAATGGAAAAAATTGAGGACATCTTCTACAGACACACGTACTTGACAGAGCCTTTAACTTTGGTCTGGTCTTCATCCTGGAACTTGTACTGGTAGCTCATCATCAGGTAGGAGTGAGGCACACCCAGCTGGAAGCCACAAGAGTAGTGATAAAGAACAGGCAATGAGTAAAGACTAATATTTAGAAGGAAAAATGAACAAAACAATAAAATCCTGACATAATGTGGCTGCACCTGCATCACCCGCATTCGTGAACATGCTTATGTTTGTGTGTACCTGCAGTGCGAGGGTAAAGTGGCTGCTCTTGGTGTCTCGGACCAAGCTGGTAGTCATGGCACTGTTGGGCCCCCAGCGCCACTGAAGATAACCCATAGTGTTCTGATCCAGGTGGCGTGCCGTCATCAGAGAACAGCTTGGCCGCAAGCCTCGTGGAGAGAACTGCAAACCACACTGGGCTGTCAGGAAGCTGGAGAGAAAAATGATAGAAAGGCGATATGAAGGGATTCATGTGGAAATATTATACTTTAATATGTTAATACTCATAAAACTCAGTCTTACCACCGTGGAGTGAGATTGCGAAACACCTTTAACCCAATGAGAGGTCCCAATATATCTCCGGCACCTAACTCCACCTGCAGGGACGAATGCAGACCAAAATACAAAGAAGGAGGTAATTATAGAAGGAAATTTAAATCACATCAAAAAAAATGCAATACTCCACATATTGAAAAGACACTCCAAAGATAGACGAACTACTGCCTCTTACACACAACATGCTTCACTGTGTGTATGCATGTGTGTTTGTGCATACCTCTCCCCAGCCCTTGGCCGACATAACTCTGCGTACGGTCATGTTGATGTTGCCCCCGCCATTCCCATTGTGCGTGGAGAGCGAACCAGACAGCACTGCTGTGTCAGAGTTTGTCAAAGGAGCCTGAAGAATGACAAGAATATGGTGTACTGATAAAACATAGAATATCAAAGTGATCTTGGTTTGGGTCAGCATATGATGGACAGTAAACGCAAAGCGAGAGTGTTTGTTGTACCTCGATGGACTGGGAAATATGCATCTTGTTGATTTCAATATGAGGAAAGCCTCCTCCTGGCATCTCTTCAAAGTCCTCATCATAACGGTCAAACAGGTCCGTTGCATCCACACCAACGCTGATGGTGCCCTGAATAATAACAGCGCGGAAGAAAAAGATTGACAGGATTAATTAAGAAAAAAGGAAAACAGTGAGCGACATAATGAATTGAATGTGGAAGCTGATCACAGTGAAACCGAGTTGTGCTACACAATGTAATAACATAAGTAGTAAAGCTAACAAAGGATTGAGAAAGAGTGACGGAGTAAACCTTGGGATTTGTTCTTTGCTGCAGTCTTCTCTCTTCTCTTTCTCTCTGTAGTCTTTCATACTCCTCTCGTATTTCTGCTGGTGTCCTCTTCCTCTCCACCACCTACACATCAGCATAAGGTACATTAGATGAAGATAAACAATGTAGCAGCAACACCACTCAGATATAGAACTAGTATACTATGTTAGAAAACACACCTCCCAGCCTTCCACCTCCAGCCCTTTTTTCCCAAAGATGTCATAGATGGCTCTGGAGTGAGCATCACTCAGCACTGAGGGGAGAAAAGGAAACTACAGTTCAGTTCATGTACATGTTTTGTGTGTTTTCATGCCCTGGTTTCTGAAGATACACTTTAATGTCAGGTGTACTTTTTTTAAGGTTGAACTAAAACTCTTTTCTTTGTATCTATGAGTGACTTTACCTTCATAAGCCTGATGAACCTGATTGAACAGTTGTTCAGCTTGTCTTTTCAGCTCTGGGTCTCGATGTTTGTCAGGATGGTAGAGCATACATAGCCTCCGATATGATGCCTTCAGCTCCTCCAATGTAGCCTGTGAAAGGGGAGAATGCAAATGTCACTTCTGAGTAGGTATGCAACCAACAAATATTTAGATGACTGATGATTCTGCTAAATGATCTGACTTAGTAATTGTTCAGTCTGTAAAATGTCAAAAGAGGTAAGTTCTTCAAGTTGCAAGTTCAGTTCCTTTTACTAGAAACTGCAAGACAAACTAAAGCAGTAAATCATCCCATCTGAGGGACTGGAAACAGCAATTCTGTTGACTTTGCCTGAAAATATACTGTGCAAAAAAATGAAAAATGTTGTCCCACTCTTTCTGGAGGGCTTGGAGAAGTTGGCAGGAGAGAATCATGTTGTTGGACATCCAGAGCATCATCTGGCAGATTGTGTCACATTATAGTGTCTGAAATCATTTTTTAGACTGCAAATGTTGAAGCTGTGGAGATTTAGGTGCCTGACTACCACACTAACCGACATGCAGCATCCGGCATGCCCACAGCCTGTTCTTGCTGTCTCTTGCCATCTGTGGCATCATGTCATTTGAATAAAGCTGCATTTTAATGTGGCCTTTTGTAATCACTGGTCACAGGAGTGTCTGTGTACTGGTCCTGCCACTGTCTGATCATTGTCCTTTAGAGCCACATCTGACTAGTTTGTGAAATAACTCAATGGTCTGGAGTTTGTCACTAGTTGAACAGCTCAAAAACTTTTTGTGCTCAATTAGCAAAACTGACCAATTCTGTAATTGAAACAAGAGCAATTAGATGTTTACCCTTTCCTCTAAGCCAGAAAAAAAGAACATTTGCATGATGGGTTTACACTTTTGTTCAGTGTAATTGTAATTGCTGAATCATTTTTACACTCAGATTAATGAATCCACTAATGACTTCAGATCCACTCCTGAGAGCTGCTGCATCAAAGCGTCCAAACTGAAGAAACTGAACAGCACATGAACAGTCATCATACATTAAACATGCAATTAAAAGTGTTACAATGCTCTGCCTGTAAGGCTATGATCTGTCTCAACAACTCCCTGCTGCTCTCTAACGTTATCCAGCTGAACAAGCAAAGACTATGCTCGTGCCTCTTAGTCTCCTCAGTTTATATGCACACTGAGATTTGAGAAGATGCTAATAGATTGAGGCATAACACTCTAGTCGACATCACCCTCTCGTGGAAAGACACATAAGAGTAAAATACATAACAAGCTTGTAGCATCAACCGGTCTCAACCTCGACGGATGATGGTGCTGACTGAGGACCATTATTTAACTGGAGGATGAGACACCGACTGCACTCCTCTCTCTCTCAATGACACACCTGCCCGGCGGTCGAGGCTTAAAAGGTCCGCTGTCGTCGGACTTCACTGCAAAACACAAAACAAACCGTACCTCCTTCCTGACGTTGAGTAGAGAATAGTAGTCCTGGTTATTAAACTCAAATTCATCATCCAAGGAAGCCGCCATGTTTGCGTTTGGTCCAGTTTGGTCCCGCCCACCGCCTCAGTGTCCTGGACGCTCATTGGTCAGCGGAGGAGGAGCGGAAGTGGTTCTGCTGCCCTCTGTTGGATCGTCCTAAGCACAGCGCCGAGAGACGTGACAACAGGAGAGAGGCGATGACAGGAGAAGATACAGTCGTCCTCAAATGTATTCATACCCTCCCATTAAAAAAGGAAAAAAAACAAACAAAAAAAACAGCATTGAAGTAAGTCATTGAAACAAACAAGCATGATGGGACCCATAAACTAATATTTTGTTGAACAACCCTTTGAGCCAATCACTGCAATCAAGTGTTTTGTGTAACTCTCAGTCAGACTTCTGCACCTGTTGACAGGTGTTTTGATTCTGGCCCACTGCTCATCAGCAAAGTGCTCTAATTTGTCCATGACAGTCTTGTTTGTTTTTATAAATTATTCTTTTGAACAACAATTCAAAACCAATGTCTTCTTTCACTAAATTATAATTTAGCATTTTTTTAAAATTATTTTTTATTATGACTTTTTTCAGTTTCTAGTTATTTGAGTGACTATTGTGAATTTTACCTTTTCTTTAATGGAATGGTATGAATACATTTGAGGACGACTGTAAGGCTGAACAGGCAGCAGAGAAGTTTATCACTTTATAATGTTTCATCTCAGTCCATTTTAATAATTATTAAACATTTTTCATTTTCTATTTCTAAAGACCATGAGAAAAAGGTTAATTTGAATTTAACCAAATTACTTTGAATTTAACTGTTTTATCAAGGTTAACAGGTAATAATTTAAAATGAAATGAAATTCAATTTTATTTACATAGCGCCAATTAACAACATATGTCATCTCAAGGCAGTTCAAAACAAAAGTTTATAATGGAGTCCCTTTGAACAAGCACTTGGTGACAGTAAAGGAAAAAAAATCCCCTTTACTAGGAAGGACAAAAAAAAATCCCCCCAAAAACAGGCAGGCCAGCTATCTGCCTCAATCAGTTGGGGTGAGGGACGGGAAATTTCAGTGTAATAAATAAGTAAGTAAGTAAATAAAAAAACTGAAATAAACCTACACATAAAAATGAAAATAAATAAGGATAAAGGAATGATATCGCCTTGACACATACTAAATAAAGATAGCTGGTAAAAGCCAGAGTTGCACAGTGTTCTGAGTGGCCAGGACAGGCCATCACCAGGCAGGAATTCTGCACTGGCTTCCTCTCTAATCAGTCCTTGGAGGAGACAGCTGGGAGTGTAGCACATTTTTATTTTGTGAAGGCTCTCTTGCAAGTTCCCCCCTCCCCAAAACTAGGGGAGGCATATGGACAGAGAAGGGTCGACAAGCGGCCCAGGGAGTTGCAGACTAGCGCTCCTAGGAAGCCCTGTACAACAGAAATGTGAAGGCCAAAGAGGACCAGTATCAAGGACCATAATGGAGTTTTGCATTAGTTCAGGCAGGAATGGAGTCAGCTAGGCCTAAGGCCCTTTCCTGTCCAATCATTCACTACTTATGTCCGGTCCAGCCCACCCACTAAGCGCGCTTTACAACCGAAGCAGCGATCTTCAGCTCTGGCTGCTCCACCAGCCTCTACTGAATCCGCAAATCATCGCAACTGTTCATCTCCTATTCAGAGATCTCTCAAGCACTTTATAAAACTCAGTACTTAATGGGATTTGTTCTTACATTCTGTCTCTGATCATGTCCGGGAAGGCTGATCCATCTTCAAATTAGGATTGGATCGTTGACACCAAAGCAGGACAGCCCTTGCAGGGACCGACTCCTACATCTGTGTCGCGGGGAAAATCCCTTCCATCCTCATCAGGCCCATTTAAAAATACAGTAAGAGCTTCTTGGCAGGCGAATCCAACCTCCAAACAACGTAATTCATCAAGCACTTTTGATTAGTTTTGACTACCTCAGTTTCAAAACTTCAAATCCACTTCAGAAAACGTCGGGCGCCCCATTCGGTCGGTCCACCGGCACCAGCTCCCGCTGCTCCGGGAGTAGGCCAGATCGTTCTCGCTCCCCATCTCTTCTCGTTGTACCTCCCCAATGCGTCCACCAGTCTCTTCTCTGAACGCCACAGACTCTTAATTCAAGCCCCGAAATCCAAGTTTCTTCAGCGCCGCTACCTGCCAACTTCCACAACTTCCGGGTTCAAGCCCACTGTCTCCGCCCATTGGGATGACGTCACAGTCGAACCGCCGGACCCCTGCAGCTCCAGAACCTCCTGCTGGGGTGGCCCTTTTCTTCAGCCGCAGCTTTGTGCCCTCACCTCTGTAACCACAATCTGGCAGGTAATTACATTAAACTCATTTTTGTTGATTTCATCGGAACCAAGCTGGGACTGTGTTGACATTTCAGTAATTCTCAAGGTCACGATTTAAGGCCTTCATAGAATATTACAATGACTGTGTTTGAGGTAGCTTTTGAAGCTTGTAGATAAAACCCATATCAGTGTGGCATGGTTGGCTTAATTGCTCCTCATGACCAAGAGGCTCACAGTGCCAACAGTCCCATTAGCCTGTGCTCTCTTTCTTTTGCCAACAGAACCACAGATCTTGCCTTTTGTTCTAGTATAGCAGGTACAGATGGGGCTGCAAGGTGGCGCAGTTGGTTAGCACTGTTGTCTCGCAGCAAGAAGTGTGGGCATTGGGATCTTTCTGCGTGGAGTTTCCATGTTCTCCCCGTGCAGTGTGGGCTCTCTCCGGGTTCTCCGGTTTCCTCTCACAAGTCCAAAAACATGTTGAGGTTAATTGGTGATTCTAAATCTGTAGGTGTGAATGTGAGTGTGTCACCTGTCCAGGGTGTCCCCTGCCTTCGCCCTAAGTCGCGACCCTAGTGAGGATTAAGCGGTGTATCGATAATGGATGAAGAGCCAAGGCATCTTTCTGTGTGGAGTTTGCATGTTCTCCCTATGCCTGTGTGGGTTTTCATCGGGTACTTCAGCCTCCCTTCGCACTCCAAAGACGTGCTGAGGTTGAATGGTGATTCTAAATTGGTTGTAGGTGAGAATGTGAGTGTGGCTGGTTTTCTGTCTGTCTGTGTTGCCCTGTGATGGACTGGTATCGTGTTCTGGGTGAACCCTGCCTCCACCCAAAGTCAGCTGAGACAGGATGGATCACGATCAGATTCACAGTGGGTCACAGTTGTACAGGCACTGAAATGGCATAACCTTCTTTTATAATGACATGCTGAAATCCCTGGTTGTCTCAAGGTTCTTATCTAATGCTGCTCCCTCAGCTGATTTTGGGGGTCTTCTCTAATAACAAATGTTTCTCAGACGTAGCACCAAAGGAGCACTAATTTGTGCCTGCTGGCTTTCAACCTACCACTCTGTTAGAATCTATTCTGCTTCCTGCAGGAAAATAAATTGTGGAGGAAGCAATCATTGTGGTTTGAGACAACGAAGCATCAGTTAACATTATTAGTGATCGCTTCTCAGTCACATCCGTGCCCCAATGTTTCCCCATGCAGCCTGCCTGTTGGTGTTCAGTCCATATGTGTCTTGGGATGTTTCTTAGATGTGGGGAGTTCATTTCACACACTTCGAAATCCTATCCTTTGTATGACCTTGCTGTGTTTGTCTTCTTTTAAGATAAGCATAAGCAATCCAACAACCGTAGGCTTTCAGAACTGATTAATATCATTACAAAGGTGCTCTGATCTTCATTGCCAGCGCTCATATGCTTTCTATCCCTTCTTTTTAATGACTTGACCTGGAGTGGTTAACCAGTGTAAGAGGACATGAACCTCTGTTTGACATGGACTCTAGAATGGGCCTGTCCAGGCCTTGGTTTGCTCGCTCCACATCCCATGTCAAAGCTGTGGTCTCTCTCCTAAGCTACACAACCCATTTTTTCCACTCATCCTCTTCAGCATATGAACAATTTGTCTGCCTGAATTCCATCAAATATTGTTCAAAGGCCATGAATACTTCATATTGCACATGATGTGTCATAACTATATATAATTTGGGCACGGTTTCATGTCAGTTCCCTAATTCATTCTCCAGCTTTACTATATTTACTCTGTTGTACGTCACCATAACAGGGCCTTGCCAGATCTTCATCTGTTTGATTTCAACATGCTGCTGATCCCCTGCATTCAGATGAGAAGGTCCAGCATGCTTGCATGAGTTCAAAGGAAATGTGACACGCTTGTCGCCATACATAGGCTAATTTAATTAAATTCCCTTTCATTACAAGGTGACTTTGCTCATTTGTTCCCTTTGGAAACGTAGGTTTAGTGTGTGTAAAATGATGCTTGCTCAGATTGTTACAGAACATTGCCTGAGCAGAGTTACTGCCAAACACAAATACATGTCATTCTGAAAAATAATGGTTAAATCTAATGAAGTGTTCTGTCTGAACTGTTTATAAGCCCATGACGGAGCATGCTTTGTGTTTGTTTAAGCACCCAAACTTTGCATTGGCACCTAAGGCAAAACCATCAAGAATTTCATCAAACAATTTTCTTATTGCTCGTGATGAAGTGTCTATTGCAGGTACATACCACTACCATTTTATCACCCAGGCCTATTAGAAGCTATTACATTTGTTACAAAAAAAGTCATCTTTTTGCTTTCCCACTTCTCAACTGTGATTGGCAGAACACCCATCCATCCATTATCTATACACCGCTTAATCCTCACTAGGGTTGCAGGGGGGCTGGAGCCTATCCCAGCTGACTTAGGGTGAAGGCAGGGGACACCAGTCCATCACAGGGCCACACTTAGAGACAGACAACCAAGCACACTCACATTCACACCTACGGACAATTTAGAATCACCAATTAACCTCAACATGTTTTTTAATTGTGTGGAAGGAAGCCAGAGAACCTGGAGAGAACATGCAAACGTCGTGCAGAAAGATCCCGGTGTCCTCACTGGGACATAAACCAGCGACCTTCCTTCTTGCGATGCAATGGTGCTAACCACTGCTCCACCTTGCAGCCCTGGATGAACAACCATTGTTCATTAACAGGAGTGTTTAACCAGGTGAAAAATGACTTTATGATTTAAGTAT